ATACATTGGAACCGTCCTGTTTATAATAGTTACCGTTTTGTATTGAAATGTTATGTTACCTAAAATGTATATTGTTTAATTAATAAAATCATAAATTTCGAAAAAATTACAAATTATTTTGACATTTGTTTTATAATCCAGAACGAAAAAGAACTAGAACATAAAAATATTTTGCACTTGTACTCGACGGTCGAAAATATAGATAGTGATTCATACATAATATAGAAACACTATTACCGCAAAGTGTATAAAACTTAAAATGATTTTTATAACGGTTCAATATTATTTGCTTTTGTTAAATGATGTGCCGCTCTCTTTGCACATCGATAGGATCTATAACAGTCATAGACTGAGTTACACTGAACGCGAATTTATTTCCTATCTCTGTCTATCGCACTTATTACAGATAGGGAAATGCTCTTTTTAGTGGGTGTAAACGGACGTACGTAGAATTCGAGTTAGTCGTAGTTAGAAACGTCAAACTATATGCGCGCGCGAGGGTTTGCATATTCCGTGACTATAGTAAATTTATAAATTAAAAAAATACAATCGGGACGTTTTAAAACGTAGGAATAATAATTAAAATGGATCAAAGTGCCGGTTGTAGCAAACGGTCTGTTGCTCATAAACGCCCTAACCTATGCGATGCGGAATTAATAATGGTAAAAAACGTGTATAAAGGAATTCGGTCGCGAAATTCTAATACAAGTGTAAGTGAAGCTGTTGATATGTGTAGTTCGTTGACAAAAGTATCCGTTGCTACTGTTTATAGTGCCATAAAAAATAGTGTAGAAGTGAATCCAAAGAAGAAAAAAGTGGAAACACGAGGGAGGAAGAAAATAGAAGTCGACGTTGACGTGAAATACTCCATAAGTAGGAAAATTCATGGATTTTTCTTTAGAAATGAAATACCAACGATAAAGAAAATTCAAGCTGCAATAGCTGAAGATGAGGATATTCCTAATTTCTCTGATAAGGTTCTTAGAAGAATAATGCGTGACATGAATTTTCGATATTTGAAACGGAATCTGAATAGTATGCTCGTTGAAAAAGACGAAATTGTGGTATGGCGAAGAGAATACTTAGAAAAAATAAGAAAACTTCGTGCATCTGGTAAGAAGATATATTACGTGGATGAAACATGGGTAAACGAAGGTCATACTGTATCAAAAGTTTGGCAGGAGGGTAATGTTAAGAGTAAGAGACAAGCATTTTTAGATGGATTTTCTACTGGATTAAAGGCACCTTCTGGAAAGGGACGAAGATTGATAATACATATTGGAAGCGATACGGGATTTTTAGAAAATGGTTTACATGTATTTGAGTCACGAAAAGCGGGAGATTATCATGAAGATATGAACAGCGACGTGTTTGAAAAATAGTTTGAATATGTTTTATCATATCTGGAGCCAGGAGCAGTTGTTGTGATGGATAACGCACCTTATCATAGTAGAAGAGTTGAAATGTTACCGATATCAGCATGGAGAAAAGGAAATATTATGGACTGGTTACAATCGAAAAATATTGAATATACAGAAACCATGCTAGAAGTACAATTATTAAAAATTGTCCAAAGAGAAAAAGGTCAATACATTAAGTACGTAGTGGATGAGATGGCCAAAGATCGAGGAATTCGTGTACTCCGTTTACCGCCATACCACTGTGAATTAAACCCAATTGAATTGGTTTGGGCACAAATAAAGAATGAAATCGCACGAAAAAGCACCACCTTTAAAATAAACGACGTGAAATTATTATTACAGGATGCTATTAATCACGTCACTGCTGAAACATGGTGTAAGTGTATTGGACATGCACAGAAAGAGGAACAACGTATGTGGGATCTTGATACAACGGTAGAAGTGTTCATAGAACCAGTCATTATTCATTTGGTTGAAGATGATTCTAGTGATAGTGATAGCAACAGTGATATGTGAAATATATAATGTGAATAATGTGATATGTAAGTATTTAAATATATTAATAGTGAAGTGATTATGTGGCAGTGAAGTGAAAGTGTGACAGTGATAATATTCGTGAGATAATTATTATAAAATATGTAAGTACCTACTTAAATAAATATATTAATGTGGTGGTGGTGGGTTATCGATGCCCAAGAGGGCATCGTTTTATAGAAAACACTCAAAATTTAAAAACAAAATGTTACTAAAATATTTTTGAAGTTTTCTCGATAAAACCTCTAAAAATAATAGATGTTATGTTTTATTATATTTTTTCCATATTTTCTACATCTTGTTGCCTTTTACGTATACACGCCTATGGATTTTCGGTCCCCGCACGCCTCATCCTCCTTACTAGTCCAAGAGCTAGCGATGAATCACTATCTATAATTTCGGCCGTCGAGTATAGGTGACAAAAAACACTTTTTCAACGAAAATGTCGACTTTTAATGAATTATATTTTCTTTTCTTTCTCGAAAATATAACCAAAAGAGCACAGTATAACCTCGGCTTGATTTTTGATAATCAACTAATAAAAGAAGTCCAATGAACAGCTCATGCTGCTTCAACTGCGTTATAAAAGAATCGAATTAAATACAAATATAAAATAAATAAGCGCTATTTTCAAAATTATTCCTCCACTAACATTACATACTCAGAAATCATTCATCGCAAATTCTTGTAACACGACGTAAGTAGTCTAAATCGACAAAATCCAACAACATTTTCGGATTCTACACCTCCGATTTGATCCCAGGCGAATTTTTCCATAATATTAAAAAGAACGACCCTTTTCCAGGTTCACGAAACCGCCCAGCCGCCGCCGCTGGCCTCGGTCGCATCTCGGCCGTTTCAGTCCTCATTGATGGGATGCAAATAGCGGTGACTCCCCTCCGTATGAATAATAGCAGTGAGTAAAGTAAATAAACAACACAATCGCCGATAAAAATATGTTTCATCGGTTGCCAAATGGGTCCTAACATCATCCGAGAGATGTTCTAAATACACGGTCCGCCCGTACGATTACTAATAGGATTATTTTTTAACGGGCGTCGAGAAATAAACGCGGACCGACGGGGAAAATAGAAAGTCCGCCCGGACTGGCGCCTATTCGTTATTAGTTTACGTGAAATATATTTCCACATAGAACGATAAATACGCGTTTCACAGTTTTATCAAATGATACGAACATAAATGTAATCAGAAGGCTTGTTAGACTAATTAATATGTAAAAATCTTAAAAACCTTCCCCTAATCTATTTCTACACCTTCAGTGTATTGTCGTATTCCAGGTCCCGAGCAATTCACTACACTTTCCATTTGGGATCGCTACGTTTGGATTTTGGGGAACAAAAGTTTCCCGAATTCAACGAAATCTGAACTGGGAGGAAACAAAACAACACCAGCATTACCATACCACCACATACGGGGCGATGGTTCGTTCCAGTGGCCCAGAATCTAAAGAGAAGCGAAATCAAGAAACTTGAACGGTAACGATCTAGGGCGGACTTCTCACCGGGACCACCTGCGGACTTGCCATACCCTGCGACCGAACGTCTACCCGATCCACTAAGGTTCAGTAACCAGCGTTCGGAAACGCAGGAGTATATACATTATTCTTGAGGAGTAGAAGTTCCTACTGTTACACATTTGAATCACAGTCTTAGTTGTTAACCCGACTATCGGAGGGTACACCACGTGCCTTATATTAGAAGTTAGGATACAAACAATATAATTAATTAATAACTATACTTAAAATTTTACCGAGTTCTAGTGGATTACTTGTATACTATCATTTAATTAAGGATTCGATCACGTCAAAAGCAAACACGCGACATAAAACCGCAATCCTCACCGACGACGACGACTTCTCTAGTAATACGAGTCTTATATTTTCTCTTTCTCACTTATCACGTTTCAGAAATGTGATACAAACTCGGTCCCTGGGCTCGCGAAACACCCACGACACACGTTTGAACGATACGATATGAAATAAAACTATCCAGAACTTTTTATTTCCCTTTTTTATGCCCTCCTCGAAGCTACGCTCGTTTATCTTACTGTCTGTAGCAACCGGAATATGTGCAACATAACACTGAGGTTATGCGAATGTAAAGTGCGGTTTTTTTAATTACAAGAATAAAACCACACTTTCAACACCCGCTTTAAATCCTTTATCAGAAACAAATGAAAGTTTTTAAATGCAATTTAAATGGTAAATCATAATTTCATAGTACGGGGCGCAAAAAGTAGGGTTTACATCGAAGAACTTGAGCGCTTTTTAATCCTTAAGGTGACAGACGACAAGCTATTTAACCCTTTATAAAATTAAAATACCACCTCGATTTCATATTTCAAGAATTAAGTGCCATTTTTAACAATCAAGGGATTGAATTTACTTTAAATCCTTTACCAGAAACAAATGAAAGTTTCTAAATGCAATTTAAAAGCTAAATCATGAGTGCAAAAAGTAGGACTTAAGCGCTTAACAACACACTACGCTACCGGAATTTAAAAAAGCACTTTAGTCGGTTTTTAATTTCAATATTAAAGTGCCACTTTTAATATCCGGGGGATTAAATTTACCTTTAACCCCTTTATCAGAAGCAAATGAGAATTTGCAAGTTCAAAAAGAAATACGTATAAGCCTCAGACCAAACTGACTTATTTATCTTTTAAGTGACAAAGGACGATTCAAGTTCTTTAGTAAACAACATAATCCTTTCGGTAGTGCAGCGTCTGGTCAAAATATAAAGGAAACTTTGTTTTGTGGCATTATACACATCCTTATCCCCAAGAAAACCCATCAATCTGTTCCGCATAAAGTTTTTCGAGGGTGAAACTATAAAATATTTATGAGGATGTTTTCAATGATTTCTGGAAGCTCCAGGAAGCGGTTGAATTTACGAGCCTCGCGTATCGATTCCCCTTTCGAGGGATCTTTTTTTTTGTACTGCCGAGCAAGTGAACATATTTGTATTTACGTGTACAGGGTGGTCTTTAATGTCGTGAGAAACTTTATAGTGCGAAAACACTGACCTGACGCTCTGCTTGCCGTTGCACCCGACAGCGGCGATGTCGAACTTGTAGTTCTTCCTCTTCTCGCAGTTGAGCACCCTCTTGGCCTTCAGCTCGGCCTCGCCCTCCTCCTTGAGGACGATCTCGAAGGGCGCCTCGCCGTGGTGCTTGTTGACGATCCGGAAACGGCACACGCTCGCCCCCACGGCCCGGATCACGGGCGTCACCTCCACCACCGTCTCGTTCTCCTTCACGATGCCGTGGTAGCCGTTCTCAAGGTTGTCGATGTCCAGCTTGGGCGCTGCAAAGGAAAAAAAAAACGAGAATTAAAAAGCACCAGGTTGGGCGCCAAAAAAATAAGACCCGCAGACTTTGGCAAAATTAAACACATATTTCTCGGTAGACATAAAAAAGTTGCAGATCGAAACCGCGAAGCCCAAACAAAAACGGTTCTGGTAAATTTCGGGGACGAAGTTTACTTTCTCACGACCAAGGCCATGACTTACGTCTAAAACTGGGTATCCGAACACGTTTGGATATACAAACGCGGCGTACCGAGAAACGTACAAAAAAAGTGTTACAGAGACGGAACTGTTGCGTAAAAGTCGTGTTATTGTTTGAGGAATGTTTTGGTTTGGATTCAGCTGGCGCGTTTTTTCCGCAAAGCGAAAAAAACGGCTGTCGTGAGCTTCTGGAGCTAACGTTATATAATAAGGGAAAGTGTAACAATATACGCGACTTGTTTATATTTTTTGGCGGGTTGAGACATACCTGCATTCGTTATTAGCCGTTGTAAATAGTTATTTACCTTCGAAGTGTAATTTATTGTTTAATTTATGGGAAATTTACTTATAACCTGTTTTGTGTACGTGTACGGGAATATGGGGTGTCATTTTCGATGTCCGCTCGTGGATTTAGAAACAGAGAAGTTAGTTTTAGATAAAATAAATCAGATGATTTACACGGGGTGTCCCAATATTCAGTATGCATGTGTACAGGTTGTCTCACGGCGACGGCCCATTAATTAGAATTATTTCAGAGACTACTTCGATTTGAATTTTGAAAATTTAGAATACCGGGTTTTCGGGCATGCGCTCCTCAACTAAAATAATCGCATCTACGTACCACTTCCGGTTATGCCGGAAGTCGCCATCGACATGCTTATTTTAAATGGAACACCCTATATAACGAGCGTTCAAATAAAAACGTGATCAAGTTGGTTCTGAAAATTTGGACGTAGGGCGTAGCGTATAGCAAATGAACTTAAACGTCATCTGTCAAAGCGCTATATCGCCGCTATCAATTTGAATATTTTCGTTTTAAAAAGCGTTTAAAATAGTGTTTTCTCAAGAACAAAAAGTGTGTATCATAGAGTCCTACTTTAGAAATGGACGCAAGGTTGATGGAATATGGAAGTATTCTATTGAGGAATTTTTCATAGAATTTCAAAATCAATTTCCTTTCGTTGTTGAGTACAAAATTTTTCAAAGTGCAGTTCAGCGTTGTGTTAATGTTTTTCGTGAAACAGGCAGTGTAACAAGAAAAGAAGGAAGCGGCCGACCTAAAAAGCGGACTGAAGAATTAAAAGAAAATGTCCAACAAATAATGGAAAATGCGCCAAGAACTTCTGTTCGTGTTTTATCACAAATGGTGGGAGTATCAGTCGGTACCTGCCACACAGTGTTAAAAAAAGATTTGCGTTTGTTCTCCTATCGTTCAACTTGTCAGCAAGAACTTCATGAAGTTGATTTTCCGCGACGGGCTGTATTTTGTGAATGGTTTTTAAACAACTACGGTGAACTTCATAATATCACCTTTTTTTCTGATGAAACCTGGTTTCATTTATGTGGTTACGTAAACTCACAGAATATGAGAATGTGGTCTTCTGAAAAACCAGATAACTTTTTTGTCGAGGGCCCTCTACACGCTCAAAAAATTGGAGTTGGTGTTCTCTCAATCGAAGGAGGATTTATGGACCTATTTTTTTTAATGGTACTCTTACTGCGCAAAGGTATAGAGAAGAAATTATCGCTCCTTTTGTTAACCAGCTGGAAGAAAACGAAATTACAAACTTTTACTTTCAACAAGATGGCGCAAGGGCACATACGGCAGGCGAGACGATGAATATGTTGAGGGAAGTTTTCCAAAATCGACTAATAAGTCTCAATGCTGAACATGTATTTCCACCGAGGTCATGTGATATTACGCCGTGTGTTTTCTTTTTGTGGCCTTACCTTAAAAACGCTATTTTTGAACTGCCTATTCCTGATTTAAACCATCTGCAGGCTCGACTTATAGACAAGATTCGTGAAATTAACAATACCCCGAGCATCTTAGAAAATGTCTTTAATTCTTTGAAGAACAGGTGTGAAAAGTGCTTGGAACAAGGAGGGGGTCACTTTCAGCAGCTGCTTTAATATATTGTTATAACAAGGAGGGGGACACTTTCCGCAGCTCCTTTAATTGTTTGTTATTGTTATCACGATTATTCTTTAAAATAAAGTTATATAGTCATTAACGTTATTGAAACTGACAGCTGCTATACAGCTCGTTGAGAAATGAAGTTGGTCGCTATAAGCCAACTTCGACCACGTTTTTATTTGAACGCTCGTTATTATTGCAATTTTGGATTCTACGTGTTATTTTAGTTGGACTTTTATGGAGTTTCCCTATTCCTGAAGTTAATAGTTTTCGAGATATTTAATTTTTTTCAAAAAAACGGAGAGAAACAGTGACTAGCTTCAGACGATGTGTATTTCATAGTAAGAAAGATAAAGCAACAATATTTATAGGGGGGATAGCTAGACCCCTAAGCTTCCCATCCATACTTTCAAAGTGGCTTAATTGCATACAGGGTGCTAGAAATTTAATGCCGAGTTTAGTTAACTTCATACCTTCATAAGTCGGTTTTTTAAATGGAACACCCTGTATGTTTTTCTATATTCTGATACACAATTTTATTCTCTTACGAACGGTATCAGAGTTCCCTATACCTATCTCTTCTAGTTTTTAAGTTATCTACTATTTATTGTGTAATCACCTAAAATCATGTAATTTCTTGCGAGGATAGCTGTGGAATTTTTAGCAAAACTTCAAAACAAACAACTAAACTGTCACCAGTTATTTATTATTATTTATTCACAGACGTTGCAATGAGATTCTATGCAGAACATTTAGTATTTAATGAGACATATCCCAATTTTCCACCAATGAGCAGAATAAAGTTAAGAAGAATTCTAAAACATCAACTTCATACATAGTAATACACAATTTTAATTATGTATATTGATAATAATAATGCACTAAAATAAAAAATGACTTAAAAAAGTCACAAGTGTTCAATATGACCCCCATTAACAGCTAAGCACTTGTGGATTCTAGAGATAACACCATCAGTCACCGCTTTTGCTATTTCAGCTGCAGGCAATTCATGGAACGCTCTAGGTATAAGAGCAAAAAAATCCTCTTTTGAAGCAACGGGTCGAATAAACTTTTTGCTTTATTACTCCCCATACATAAAAATCTAATGGAGTGAAGTCGGGAGACCTCACTGGCCAATTCCACGGTCCTAGGCGTCTCATCCATCTATCTTCAAACATTTCAGTCAGCTGTTGATCGATTTGATTGTGACAGTGAGTTAATTATTTTATTATTATTATTATTATTATTATTATTATTATTATTATTATTATTATTATTATTATTATTATTATTATTATTATTATTATTATTCTAACGCCTACTCACTGAAGGATTCTATCTCAATTGTTGAACGACGTTTATAATGAAAAGCTAGGTATTCTAGATGACATTTATTTGACTCTAGATTAGAAAAATTGCTTTCTTGACAAATAATTAACTGGAAAAAAACACCACAATATCGAATCGTCTCCATTTCACATTTTAGTGACCATAGAAACATGAAAATTGTTTATTCTTTTAAAGTTTAGCTTGCTATATCAACAAAAAATCGAGATTTCTCAAATACTTTTGAGGTTAGGATCAGTGTATGATATGATACCATCAAAAAAACACAGTATCATGTTTCAGCGACCCCAAAAACAGGAAAATTGTCTATTCTTTTGAGGTTTAGCTCGCTATATCATCGAAAAATCGAGATTTTTCAAATATTTTTGAGGTTAGAATCGATATATGATATTATACCATCAAACAAGCTCAACGTCACGTTCCAGCGACCTGAAAAACATGAGAAATATCTGTTCAGATAAGGTTTATGGGTGAAATAGACAGTTCGCTTCCCTTTGAATGACGATTTCAGGCTTTTTAGCCTTACAAGTCACTATATGAAATTCGCCATCTTGAATTTTTGAAAAATAACTCCATACCCACGTCCAACGATGTCAAGGGCACCTGTTCAGACTATTTGGGTATGAATTTGTCGTTAATCTGATTACTGTGAGAAGTTTATCGGACGATTCTTTATTTTTCTCATACTTCTAGGCTCCATATTATATCCGCCATCTTGGATTTTTCAATTCTGGCAATTAGCATCTTAAACTACTTGGAAAGACAAATTTTTTAAGCCGAAAACCATCTTCGTAGGTGCTCTCAAATTTTGGGCACAGGCTTGATCGATTTGACGTGGATCGTCCCATATGCAGTCAAAATTTTTGAATTGTACGGTAAATTCTGAATACCTTTTGTATAACTTACCATATCTCGTAATTCAGCGGTTTTCGTAATAATGTATGAAGATTGATATTTTGAAATACACACAAGTAATTAAATAAAATGTTTAAATTGAACGACCTTCAACATTTTTTTAAAAACCAACAGAAACAACCTGGTTTAAATTTTATTTTAAACAAAACAATTTTCTTCTTATTTTCTTTCATTCTTCAAGAGAGTTGCACGAAACTAAATTTGTACAGGACATGGCTAAACAATGCGAAACATCGCCTTAATGTTAAAAATGCTGTCACCGCCGTTGTTGGCGGTGAAAATTCGAAATATTTGAAATTATTCAAATTTCGTGGTTATTTAAAAATTGCAAATTATTCCAGCTTGGTTTAGCTTTGAAATCAGGTGCAAATTCGACTTGGCACATAGGAACCATAAAAATATAAAACTATAAATTTAAGTTTAGAGATTTGGGGCATGAATTGAACAAGAAATTAGCAACACGTGTAAAGATTCTACCATTAATATAGGAAATAAAATTCAAATTATTAACGTTTCTAATGTGCCTCGATCATAAAAAGGTTAGTAGCATAGAGAATATTATTAATAAATTAACATCTGCAATCGTTAACGTTCCTAGTTTTGTAATTAATCAAGGAC